CCCTACCCCCGCCCCCCAGCACAACAAGGTCCTCCCTACCTGGGTAACATGCTCCCATAGACTATGCAACTGCTAGACACTGGTACTTCAAACTGAGCCTTGTGTTTTGCTGGAGAGATGACAAGTGAGGAGATGACACTCATGAAGCTGTTTCCACAGCAAGCTGGGTTGGGGAGAGGGTGGGGGAGAGAAGGTGTGGGGAGTGTTTATTCACCCAAGGCAGGTGCCCCATCTGCTGATAAGCATCCTGCCCCCACTCAGTGGATTGGCTGAAGAAAAAGGGGAAAGAAGAGGAGCTCAGTTGAATTTAGCCTTTGAGAAGTCCATTTCTGGGTGTTGTTCCATGAACCTGCAGGAGCAAAAGGAAAGGCGTCACGAACAAGGCAGTACACGTGCAACGGGACGCTGTGGACTGACTACAGAAAGCTCAATGTTACCTAGGCACTGTCCCATCAATGTCTGTGCACAACCAACCCCTGGGTTCAGTGTTAGTCCCATTATCCACATGGCAGGGGTGTCCAATAAAGGAGACAGTGATGTCTTACTACTTTCAGTGTCCTTGGGCCTCCCTTTCGCTAGCCTGTGGGTCTCATTATCCATTCTGACTTGCACAGGGAAACTCCAGAAGTGACATTATCCTCTTTCCTTCAATCCTCTGTCAGTAACACGATATTACCCTGCTATCAAGGCTAACAGGTGTAAACAGCTAGCAGTTATTAATTATCAGACGTGCCCTTGGTAACTATTACCTCCAGGACAGACACGTAGCAGCTGGAATGTTGACTGTAGGACATAGGGGAGGTTATGATCTATGCTTAGATCATAACTGCATTCTTGCATGGTACTGAGGTGGTCAGGGACACCTCTGCTGCTGTGATGGTCAGAGAAACACTGCTCTGTCAGGCCAGACCAACTGCTCTTCTGGCAAACTAGGTGACTGCTTGCTGAGAACGCACGCTGTGTCCCCACAGCAGGCTTTCAACTTGAACAAGCTCCTGCAGCCCTGACCTAGAACAAAGCTGGAAACCACTCTACCAATAGTGGCTGAACCTGTGGAAATAAGCCCAGGAAAGAGAACCTATAGGGGATGACCCTACTACACTAATCCTTGTTTCACCCTGGAGGCAAAAAGCAGTTATGTTCATACAAGGGGAAAGCTGCATGACCCATAGTTACCCCACTGCCAGGCCCAGCAGCTGTGATGCTCACCCTACATGGCCTTGGAGTTCGGCGAGTAATTTTCCTGCCAAGGTGCAGTTACACTAAACAGAGCTATAAAGACATAAAAGAGCTATTGGCCTGGAGACAACCAAGACTGGATGTGGGAAGGGAGGAGGAGAGATTATCTGGGCTACTGGATAGAGGGAGATTAAGGAACCATTGAGATCATATTAAAGTTCATTGGAGATGGAGCCTCCAGCCCCGACGCCACTGACTTCATCTTGCCCCCTGGACTTGAAACCAACCTTAGGTCAAGGCTGTCCCCAGAATAATTGAGTAGAATTTTCTACTGCTGTCTCTTGTTAACCTAAGTCTAGTGTCAGTGATTCAGCCTTCCACAGTGAGGGTTAGAAAAAAAATCTCAGGTCCAGTCAATCATTCTTCTCCCTCCTATGTATGCTATGATGCGCAAGGTGTTTGAGGATGGGAGTACTCTCAGAAGAGACTGGCTCTACATACTTTTTCAGTATGTCCTGCTTCTTCTGTTCATCCGATGTTGGGAGCCCCATGGACTTCTGTCGTTGGTCATACATCATCTTCTCTACCATGCTGCGAGTTTCACTGTCCAGGTCTGATAACTAAAACCAAGGCAATTCTGTTATAAAGGAAACACCAGTCCCCTTGGTGTTCATGCATAACTGCAGGTTACAGTGGATTACACTGCAGTAAAACTTTTAGGAGAACGCAGATCCTTTAAAAGCAAGACAACAAGCAAACTGCAGATATGCTATTATGAAAGCTAACCTTAATTCCACTGCAGTAGTTCTGTTCCATTCAGATTGCATGGTGGACTCACACACTACATTTCTACTGCCATCTTCTTTAAAGTAGCCAAAGCAATTGCATACTTTTGAATTCTTCTGCTTGTAGTACAGCCACCCCCCAGTCACATACTATACACAGTCTCAAAACATTCAGCCACAGCAACACAGAAGAACGGTTTCCCAAGGATTCAGGGTGGGTCTGTGTCCCTCTTTGCATTCTCCCAGGAGAACACTCAGTGGATACAGTGCATATAGCCTTTATAGCTAGTGGCGTGCCTACAGTGATACAGGTTAAGACCAAGTCATAAGAACAAAGATGCACACCTTTTTCTCAAGTCTCACACACGTGCACCTTGATCAGCAAAGGTCAAAGAGAGGACAGATGCAGTTTTACCTTTGAGTTCTCTGGGTTGATTTTCTTGGTGTTAATTTCTGGATCCGTGGAGACAAGCTTATTCCACCATTCCATCTTATTGATCTGAAGGCAAGAGAATGCAGTAAAGAACACATCACAAATACAACTGTTTCTCTGAATATGCTCATATAGAGAGAAGCAAGTCTCTCTAGAAGAACCCTAGTGTTTTGACAATAGCCCCAAGAAAGCCTGGATAGAAAGAGACTTCCCCATTCCCAGCCACTGTGAGTTAGCACCAACTAGCAGCGATTTCCACTGCTGGCAAGGCTGCAAGAAGCAGGGTCTAACCATGACTTATACTATCAACAGAAGGGATACAAAAAGGATACCAACATCAACAGAACCTGCTAGCAGGCACCACATACGTTTCCGTGGACCCCAGCTCTGGTATGTTTATGTTGGGCCTTCATCATCACCGGACCTGATGTAGTCACTAAAAACCTAAATCCCAAGTCCCTTTCACCCTGATGTACCTTCTCCAGGTGCACAGTGACTGTTTTCCCATCTTCAATCAGCCAAGAGCTCTCCTCCACCTTCACTTCATTGTAGAGGTCTCCATCAATTACAGGGGGGTGACCTTTCAAGCCCAGTTTCAGATGCCGTCTTTGGATGTCCACAATCACATCTTTCCCCTTCAGCCGGAAGTTCACCTTGAATGGGACTGCCAGCTGGGCAAGAGAAAGCCAGGTGTGAGGAGGGGGTTTCTCCCTCTGTGCTGCTGCTTTAAGACAATCTACCCCACTAGAGGCACATGAGGTAAGAGAGGCTCTTTGTGGGAGTGAAAAGGAAGGCAGAAATTTGTCAACACGGTGCCCAACATGCTTGAAGACGACGTCACAGTAGAGGTGTAACACTTCACCAAGATCCTATCTTAGAAAATAAAGGAAGGTAGAGGCGAGGCTGGCAAGAAGCTCTTGCTTAGCTATCATGTCCTCACCGTGCCATGGGCGTGCTACAGCTGGGCACAGTTATTAACTGCTGTCTGAGCTAGCTGCCTTGCCTTTGAGCAACAGCTTCACAGTTCATAGCGGTATCTGCCCTCAGGTATCCAGGCTACAGTTCCTCATAGCCCCGAGTGGAAGCAGCACTTACATCCAGCTCAGAAAGGGTCTGTGTCCACCTGTAGTTTGGAAGGTCAGCCCCATTCCCGGAGTTCGGTTTCATTTTCCCTTTATCCTTCTCATCTTCTTCCTCTTCCTCCGACTCCTGATCAGAAAATTTCAGCGTCAGCGAAGAGGTTGCTGAGCCTGCCTATACCTTCCACTACTAACATCATCCCTTTACGTTCACACAGGGGTCAGTACCGCATTTGCTGGCCCACACGCTCCCCCGAGATCCAGCCCCAAATGTGAAAGCAGAAGTTTCCATTACACCAGGTTTAAACATTCCTGGATGTCTCTTGCACTGTGCCAAGCAGACAGGGAGTGCGGATGGCAGTCAGTAAGGATCTCCAACACCCGCTCTTACAACAAAAGCAACGGAGCAACCCCTTGGATGGCACAACTCACCCAGGCCACCTCAATGCTGATCAGGCTCTGACCCACCTCCTTTCCCCCACCACCCAGCATAGAGATGCTTCTCTGTGGATACATTACCTGTTTGCTAGAATCTGGAGAGTCTGTTTCATGCTCAGAGGGTTTTGTAGAGACATTGTTATTCTCTTCTTCTTTTCTCTCTTTTTTCTATTTAAAAAAAGAAAGACACCACCCCCACCCCACAGAATGACTGGTCAGCTGATGAGGTCTGTGGCACTAAGCGTTGTTTAGAATTGCAGCACTAGGTGGCCCCGTTTCCTTCTCGAGATAAAGCAGCAGGGTTGTACATGACTCAGAGCCACGTGAAACTAGAGCTAAAGGGTTTCCAGCCCTCAGTGCACTTTGTAAAATGAAAGCCTTAGCATTCAAAAGGCTCATTCCCCTCCCTGTCCCCGATATCTGTATAAGAACAAAGCTTCTGACAGAATGATAACAGTCATTTCTCATGGGGCTGCACGTAGACAACTGAGCAGACTCTAGCCCCAGATAAGCTCTTACAATACAGATGGCAACCCACACATGCTGCAGCTGTCACCTGGTCGAGTTCCAGTTGCAACCTTTCCGCCTCCTCCTCTGTAAGCTCTTTGATTTTTGGCTCGTTGGCTTCCTGCTTTACTTCTTTGGCAAGTTTCGCAGCCCGTTCTGCCTTCTCGCGACGTTCAACTTCCTGTTGGGCTTTTTTCTCCTTCTGCTCCTTCTGCGCCAGCTTGTTGTGGTGGTTGAAAGTATCTGTGATAAGCTGAAAACAAAGACCCCCTCAGGGACTGCTGACTTTTAAAGAGGCACCCAAACGGGGGCTGGTGATAGTCAGCTCCCACCCCCGCAGCTGCATGGCAAATACCTGTTCCTCAGCAGTACCGATGTGAGGCTATTGCCTTCCTCCCCCCCCCCCAGTATTTGATAGAATATTTGGGAAAACTCATCAGTGTCCAAGGCTTACTCCCTGACCAGTCTTACTTACGCAGAGCACACTATCCAGTCCAGGAAGTAAAGACTCCTGTGGTGCACATACTCACACCAGGGCAAAATGAATGCAAAACCCTATGATAGACCAGACAGAGTATAACCACTGCAGTTCACAGATGGACGTGGCAGGGTGATGCTCTGGACCCAGGTCTGGGCCAGAAATTCATTGTAGCATCTTGAACTATTCATGTGGTCTCTGTGCCTCACTCCTCTGCAGGAGGATAACACAACCCTAACTCATCAGGGGACTCATAAGGCTTTGATAACTGCCAGACTTGTCAAGTCCTTTGACAACTCCAGATGGAAGAAGTCATGCAAGTGAAACATGCTTTTATGAACTGGATGCAGACACAAGCCAGGTACATTAAGGAAGGCCATGTCAGCCTGAACTTTCCCCATGTGTTAGAGAATGTATGTTCAGTCCATTCTGTAAATCCCCTCATGATAATTTCTAGGAGAGGCAGCTGAAAGATGAATGATATCACTGAGGAATAAATTCATATATAATCTTCTCTCCAAGCAATCTCAAGTCTCTTGTATTGCAAGGACTTAGGTACAGCTGCAAAAGGCAGAATATCGAAGTCTACAATGTAAAGGGCTGTAGCGTTCAGAGGCAGAGCTGAGTAAACAGGCAAGAGGCCAACCTGGAGCAATAACCCAGCTATTGATAATACCACAGGTACCGTGCAAGACAGCACGTAGTGAAACTCAGTCTTCCTACAGGCATCAAGGTAATACTTCCACAGGAAGGAGACTATCCAGGGTCAGGAGCCAGATGAGAGGGAAAAGAAGATCTCTTATGCCAAGGAGTAATATATTAATTCAAAGAAGTTCCAAGGACATGATCAACCCCTTTCACGATGAACTATCCCAGAGCAGCTTACATAATCAAACCCCCAGCTAGTTACAGCACTGACTGCAGACTGCAAGGATGAAGAAGAGATTATGAAGCCTTTGCCTACAAACTTGGGAGAACAAGCAAGTCTCCGAAGAGCCATAAAAATACCAGGCAGGTCCATCATGTTGGCAGGAGAATGGAAGGGGATAGGAGTCCTTCCACAATCTTCCCCCAGTCTCAAAAGGTAGTTCAGCCTGGTGGTTTCCCTCCTGCTAGATTTAATTAAATGTTTCAGGCCCAAGGGGCTGTGTTAAGAGTTACAAAGGGGAAATGGGGAGTGGGAGAGAATAAATGGCTTCTTGAAGCTCTAGCTGAAGGACTGTGTTGACAAAGACACAATCAGCAAGGGCTTGTATTCAGTGTCCTTCCTTCAGAGGTTCACAAAACACTTTACAAAAAAACAGTACCATGGAGAATTCTAGTCCAATTACAGAGGGGGCACTGGGGCAGGGAGCCACTCCCTCCTATGTAGTGCACAGAAGAAGCCAGGAATCCTGACAGTCAGTCCCTGCCTCTAGCCAATTCCTTAAAGCTCCTCTTGCTTATGATCTGGAGTGCCAATCAGCAGAAGCTCTAAATACAGTGCTAATCATCCTCACACACTGATTCTACACATATATGCTTGTCCCTGTGAGATGGAGGAAGATTTGTCCCTAAAAAAAACTCTTGCAGCTCTTTTACAGATTTCACTCATATTCACCCTAGCACTGTGTTGGGGTTTCCCCTCCCCACCTCCCTCCCCTTGCAGGTTAGGCAGCAGGTACATTCTACGCAGCACCGGCAATTGTAATCTTTCCCTCTACATATGACACGGCAGCATTTCCTAAGCTCTGTTCTGAAGTCACCCACTGGTGGGGCTGTAAAGCATCAAGTGTGTATCACATACTGCTGGCTTTTCCTCATTTTGACCAGCTCCAGTGCCCCAACACATTTAGATTGTATCAGTCCTGCACTCAGAGGTACGGGGAAGCTGCACGGGCAGGGAGACAGACTTTGTGCTTTTCTAAGATGAACAAATAAGGTAAACTAGGGTTATCGATCCTGCGGTGTCTGTCACCGTTAAGTCAGTGTGTCTGGCAGGCTTGCTTTTCAAACAACCCTTTGGCCACAGCGTGACAAAAACCTTCACCATTGATTTTATTCAACAGGCAAACAAGCTCAGCCACGGACAAGGGCAGCTCACTCCTACCTTGTTTCACTGGTATATTTCTGCAGCATCACAAACATTAGGCATAGTTTGAAGATACCACATGGCAACAGGAAGAAAGCACTTTGTGGCACAAAGGTCAGATGTCTGCCAGAGGCAGGAAGCATCTTGATGTGAACAGCTGGCCCGAGCATATAAAAATAAAACATAAGGGTTTGTGAGGGGGAAGGATTTTTTGTTTTTTACCTTCTCTGCCACTCCGTCTTCTCCACCTGTGAAGAAATCTGTTTTCCGTCTCAGGAAACTGAAGAACGTGTTAACAAGCTGGAAAAAGAAAAACACAAGACAGGTAACTTCAAGAGACCTGAATTAAAGAGTTTGAGCTGCAAAAGAAAGCCTACAAGGAAAAGGAGCAAATCTAGATCTTAGCAGTATTGCGATGAGCAAGTCTTCATTCAGCAGGTAGCCAAGAGAACAACTTCTCACTTCCTTGTTCTTACTTCTAAGTAGCTGATCTAGCAGAATTTTTACATGGTCACTCCAAAATTTGGTGGAGCATTTTTGGCCTTTTCATCTAATTACTTTTCACAGGGAGTCCACAGAAACAGAGAGAAGTAGCAGCTTGAACATGGCACAACTAAAGAACAGCATTGTATACCGGTCCAGATATATGGGACGCGAAGACAAAGAACCACTTTTATCAGTTGGCTCTGACAGACTATATTAGATTAGACAGCAGAGCACATGGTGCTCACCAAGATCGTCTCTGCCCACACCTCAGCTGGAAGCAGTGCAATGCTGGTATAAATAGTGTTGCTATTAGTTTCCATAGCCAATGTGGGCAGAGACTCATTCCCAAGAACCACAATGACTTAGCCTTCCTATACCTTATACTCCTAGGTTGCTTGAAGCACTGTGTACCAGTCACCACAGCAACCGTTTGATTGGGAGGATCAGCAGCAAAGAAACCCCTTCTATAGGGGCCAGAGAAATTGCATTTTTTTTTCCAAACACAGTTTTTTTGCACCACAGCTACGGCCAGAGCATGGACAGGCCTCAGGGATCCGAGTGGAAAACAAGCCACCAGCCACACTGCTACTCAGCCAGCAAGCTTTTCATCCATCAGCCTGGATTTTACCTGAACTGCAGCACGAGGCGAGACCCTCGCCTTTCTTGGATAGCTGTCCAGCCCCCAAACGCCAATGGCGCCACATTAATAATTAACGTAACAACCCATTTAAGTGTGAATGCTTTCCCAGCGCAACCACAGATGCCTCCTTTAAGTGCAGGGAGTTAATAGAAGAAAACACTTGCAATGTTAAGGGATGCACTGACTGCTGGCAAACACTGGAAGGGCAGTCAGCACGGCACTGTCATGAATGTTCAGTGCTCCTAAAATGACCCAGGAAGATGGGGTCCAAGCTGCTTAAGGCCTCTGGATCTTTAAGAAGAGCGAGCTTCTACCACACTCTTCATGCACAAATCCCATGGCACTTCGCAAAGGTTGATGCCTTTGTCCCCATTTCACAGACAAGAACGTTAGAGCACCCCTTCTTATGTTCAGGTGCTTTACTCCAGGGGTTCCCAACCTTTTTAGACTCCGGACCAGCAAACCACGGACCGGAAGTGACTGGCATACTGAGGAGCGACAGCCAACCCTTTTTTAGACTCAGTCTAAAAAGAGGATTGGCTGCCAGTCCACAGTACGCTGGTCACTTCCAGACTTCCAGTCCAGCAGCCAACCCTCCTGTGGACTGGCAGTCGGCCCTCTGCGACCTGGAGGTTGGGAACCTCTGCTTTACTCACTTGACTGGAGCATGAGTCAGTGCTTTATACTTCTGAGAGAACCCATTAAAACAACATGTTTGGCAGCAGAGGGATTGAGACTGCGTTACTCGAACGCCTGTAAAAGTAGCTGGTAGTACAGCTAGCCATCTACCGGCGAGTCAATGAGCAGCTGGCAAAACCGTTGGCTGATGAGTCCCCTCAGGAGAATGCCAGTGCTTGTACCACGATGGGCGCAAAGCTGGACTGTCCTCAGACAGAACAAGGAACAATGGGCTCAAGCTGCAGCAGGGAAGCTGAGGTTAAATATTGGGGGAAACGCTCTCATGAGGAGCACGGTGAAGCACTAGAACTGTTTACCCAGCGAGGTGGTGGACTCTCCATCTCTGGGGGGTTTTAAGATGTGGGTAGACCAAGCCTCGGCTGGGATACCGTAGCTGGGGCTGGTCCTGCTGGAAGCAGGGGGTTCGGACTAGATGTGACCCCCCCAGCTCCTTTCAACCCTCATAGTCTACGAAATCTACAGAAAAGTTCAATGTCCACGTGCTGAACTGTCCTGCCAGGTTCAGCAAGGGAGCGGACACGTTCTTGGTGGAAAGGGGCATCAGGTGCCATCAAGCCCCGAAGCGAGAGGCACGGCCTAGACCTGAAACACTGGAGGCTGCAAGAGGAAGACAAAAAGGAAGACCCCCGCCCCCGTGTGTGGGGCCGGGGTCCCAGGCAGCACCCCCCCCGGCCGGCCAGCCGGCGCTACCTCCCGCACGCCGCCCTGGTGCTGCTGCGCCATGGCCAGGAGCATGCCATCGAAGCGGTCCTCCTGCTCCGCCGCCTCCTCCGCGCTCAGCCCCATGGCGATCCGCAACCACTGCCCGCGACCCCTCACCCGGAACCGGAAACGGACACCCCCCCACCAATCGTCGTGCCGTATTCCTCCCTCTCGTTGATTGGCCGCCGCCGCG